GACGGCATGGCAAAATTAACTCGATTACTTATTCTGATTAAATCGGCGTAAGCTTTCGTGGGTCTCTCTCTTCTCCTTCCGCTGGATCGAAGTTAATTTCATTAACATTAATAATTTAAAATACGCAAGTCGAATTTTGTGAGTCTTAAAGCCTTGCGCAACTGGTCGAGGGGGGTAATATTTAGAGTATTCAGAGGTGATTATGGATTCTCGTTTGAAGACCACAACTAAACTACGATATTGCTCGAATAACCGTAGCCTGCTTGAATAGTAAAATGAGCAGCGAGAGTCGATATATTATCGACTGAACATATACAAATGTGAATATAACCTACAATGCTTGTGGAATGGAATGAATATAAGTGTGCTCGCATATGAGATTCTATTGAGCGAATTGAGTGCAGGTTTGAAGCACACCGTCACCGAACTGGCTTGGAGATTGTCAGTGTGATTTCATATCTAAAGAAGCCGCCATTGTCCAATGAGGCTTTCGAGGGTTTCAAACCTGCCGATACCAAACGAAGTTTCAGACAGAACAACTCCTTATATTGCGACTTCTTTAAACTAATTCTGTAGAAAAGGGACGAGTTACAGAGCGAAACTTAGAAGATAGAAATTTCATGCAAAATTACAATTTTTGGCGTAGGCTAGTTATATTTCATATCTGAAATAAAACTAAAAATTTAATAGGCGTAGATTATTTTCTGTGGTAACACTAGAAATCTGATCGGTACACGGTTTGTTTTGTTTAAAAAGTTAAAACAAAGTCTTTATACCCTGGTATATCATACAGTAGGTTACAAAAGTTTGCAAAGACACGCGCTCACATAAATATAAACAGTTGCTATACACACGAATATCACTATGTCCCAATAGTTGCGCATGCGCTTTATTCCCAAGCTAACAGTAGTGAGCTTTGTGGTCGGTGTAAGGAGCGATGCGTGTTTGGGCTGCATCGTTTGTTAGACAAACGAGCGCTCACAATGCACGTATTTTAGCGGCAAGTAATTCCACAACAGCTGATTACCGATATACGCCTGCCTAGTAGCAGTTATGTGTGTACATACATATATTCGTATGTTTAGTATAGAAATTCACGCAAGCAATGTTGAAAAAAATAGCAGCAAATAGATTTGCGTTTATGCACTCATAGGTGCGCCTAAGCCGCGATTTGTTTTGTCGAAATATGTAAGTACATGTGTATGTATTTATGTTCATTTGCCTTTTACCGTATTTTATTAATGAAACCAGTTTTACTCATTTTTGCTTATTTGTTTTAATTAATAGTAGGAAATACTTCAAAATAATTTTTTAAAACTAAATTTTCATCCACGCTTTTTCTCAGATCTATTTATTTTATTCATTAACAATCGAATTGTAAATTGTCGATTTTATGCAAAGTCATAGAGATAATCATTGGAAAAAAATTCTCTAAAAATAGAGTCCGGTAGACGGTGTATATGTATGTATGTTTCGTGCCATTAGTTGATACCGGAACTTCTTTTGGAATATTTGTAAATAATGGGATTTTTTTGTGAATAAAGGTTTGGAAACTTTGAAATATTGAACACTGGCGATATATGCGAGTGAGTGATTCTTTTCTAAACTTCTCATTCGATGTAGCGTCTTCGCCCAGTGAGCTTTGCTGCATATTATTATAATTTTTTTTTTTTGAAGAATTTCTCTTTTAGAAATTTATCCAATTTAATACAGAAAACCAAAAAACACTATTTTTATATTTGAGTTATTATTTTTTTTTTATTCTGGCTATTGACAATTGATTCGGGTGGATGGTTTTTATTAACCATAGCATTTCTCACACCCTTCAAGAGCGTGTCTAGGGGTGTAACGCCTGAATGTTTGCCTTGAGCTTGTCAATGGTCCAATTGGTACAAATTGTACTGATTGAATTTTCTAAAATATGTCAGTAACTCAACTAGATTGACTCAAACTCATTCAATGTTTGCACGCCTACATATGATAATACTTAAGGGATGACGCACTTTATATATATTTAATGGCCACCACACCGTTTAGCCAGGTGGTTTCACCCTCTAAGACAGCAAAAGGTTTTTTAGAAATATAATATCCTCTATCAGAAAGAAGTGCGAGAGTTCTCTACTTTGAAATAGCCTTTAAATTCGTTTCGAAGCATCAACGGCGTAACAATGAGGTTATCTTTGCTCAGTGTTATTTGGTATTTCATCACGGAATGTCTTACACTTGACCAAAGTTTACGAATTGTTCAACCTTAAAACCTTAGTTATAATATTTGATAACCAAACTTGAGTTAACTGCACACATTTAACAAGAATTCAAACTCCAGCTCGAAAATTCAAATTAAAACTGCGTAAAGAGTTCAGTGACTTTACGACTTCGGAAATAATAAAATATACAGTTGATCAGTAATTTCTGTATCAATTAGCAAATCATTCGCTTTAGCGCCCAAGTTCAATGTTACGCATTTACATATTTCGCTGATTGCCGCAGCATCACGTTGGTGGTGCACAAGGCATTGGGTGCACGTGCAGCGAAACATGAATTTAGTTACGTATGAAAATGACTCAGTCAGCACCGAAAGTGTTTAGCAAGTTATTATGATCCGCATTCTGGCACATTTACATAAGGTCAAATGTAGCTACGGATATAATTGCATTTTGATTAGTTTTTCAAATTGTTGACTAAATATGTACGTGTGTGTTTAGAGCTACATATAAACACCGTATGTGTGTTAAAATGCAATTATAGAAATTTACATTAAAAAATTGTATACCAAAAATTTTTGTGAGAAAAATACTAGATTTTTTTTTAAGAAACATTTAGCTGCAATTAAAGTGTACACAATATTGCATTGCGGCAAATTTTGAATTTGTTTCTATGATTATTAATGATACTAAATCTATCTGACATTTAATGTGAGTTTACTAAATCAAGAATAATTTATGCGAATTGGAAACGGGTGGAACTGAGTATTTAATAATTCTTTAGATCCTTTTCACATATTAGAATCCAACAGTAGTCGCTCGTTCTTCATCCGAAAGAACTTGGTATCGTCAAACGATTTTCGATAGATCTTGGTGTAGCCGCTGTTTTTACTCGTCGCACAAGCAGGGGATATACATATCTTTAGAGATTTTTCAGCTACAATCTTTCGATAGCTTTCTAAACAAAATGTCAAAAATTTGGCTAAATTTTGAGTTGCAGTTCCTAAAAATTAAAGAAAAAATTAACTTTACTAATCGCGGTCGCCGTTTGGCAAAGAATATGAAGCCCAAGCCCACGAGTGTATTTCTGGTATGAAATTAAAGGTCATCCTAAAAAATCCATCAGTCGTTTGAAGTCGGCTATGTATAAGCTGTAGATCCCTCCGTTCGTTGTAAAAACATCAACCCTCAAAGTGGAGGATGTGCGCGGACGAAAATCGTATGAGCTCCTACAAAGTGACAATTATACAAGTATAAACATGGTTTCCCAATAAGAGCTGCTATTTCGTTATACAAAGAAAAATTACATTTTTTTAGATGACTGAACGGATGTTTATTCTTTTTATAAAACTTTACATCATCAAATCACAATGTGGTTGCTATATGCGCTCAGTAGCCCCTCCCACCTTTGAAGTCTTGAATCAACATTGACCTGTTGGCGTAGACCTTCGCGCGACGCCAAAGGTAACAGTCGCAAGGTGTTAAGTCACAAGATCTCGGTGGACGATTGCGATAACCTCTTTAAGCGCTAACACGGTCCTGAAATTTTTCCCTTAAAATGTCCAAGGTTTCGTTGGTTGTGTAGAACGAAATAGTATCTTGTTAAAAGGAAATATTGCCCGGATCAATTTCGAAAAAGTATTGTCCAATGACCCCGACAGATGGCTTATTGACGTAGCCATCGAGGTGGAAATGGGCCTCATCAATCTTGACTGATTCTTCAATTTTTTTTCGGATCATTTTCATACATTCTTTTCAAAGGCCCAATCAGCAAAAATACGACGCTGTTGAAAATCGGTAAATCCTTATGCTAAATTGGTGCAATAACGTTTTTGGAACTCCCAATTCCTAAGAATGAAGAGGAATGGACAAACTTGGCTTTTCTTCAGCACTTAGAGCACATCACTTACAAGGTGCTTCACGACGACCGAAAAATGAAGTTGGCAATATTTTGAAATGATATCCATGCTGTTGCCTCATCAGAATGTTAAACATTTTGTAAAGTTACTGTTTTCTAACATCAGGCCCGATTTACTCCTTACTCCAACGAGGGAAAAAACTTGATTAAATACAGAAAGGTCGAAGGCCAATAAAGTCTGGTAAATATGTACATTGGAAACAACTTGTCAAGCTTTGATGCTGACAACACGCGAGAACTCGGAAACTAAAACCAATATTGCTAATCCGATTAAATATTCGAACTTAGTCTATCGATTAAGTTAAAACATTTGGAAATGTTATTGCTACAGCAGGTTTCAAAATAAATGTTATTTCGGTTTTATTCGAAACGAAATGCTGCTGTTAATGTTAACTCGCTAACAGATCGTGTTAAATATTAAAATGGAAGTGTTCTGTTACGATTATAGCAAGCAGACATTTTAAAATCAAAAATTAACGTCAACAAAACGAAATAAAATCATTTTGTTTAGTTTATTTTCCATACTAGCAAAACGGAATGACATCGCGTCGTTAGCTGAGGATATTGTTAATAATTAATATTTATTTATTATTAATTATTATTAAAACGAAATACCCTAATTTTTAATTATTGGTGATAGGTGTGAAGGTTCTCCATTCTTTTTTTATATTTCCAGACTAAACGAAGATCTAGTATAATTTCATATATTTAAAGATTTTTTTTATTAAAAATGAAGACAGTCACAATATCCTCACATATATAAGATTCCTTTTTTTTTTCTTCAAATAAACTAAAATATGTGAAGAAGAATACAAATGATAATAAAAGGAAAAATAAAAATAAACTTAGCTCAATTCATTTTAATACAAAAAACTTACCTTTCGATTGGTTAGCAGTTAAGTTTTTGGTAGTGTCTATTTGAGCGACTTTTATGTAGCGCGGCTTTGGTATAATTTCTGGTGAGGGATTTTATTATTTTTAATTATCGTTAAATATATTAATTTCTTTTCTTGGATTTTATCACTTCTACTGAAATTTTTCAGAATTCAATATTTTGTCTCTTTCTTATACAATATTTTTATTTTTTTCATAAATTTGCTAGCAATATTACTAATTTTTTACATTTTCAACATACACTGTAATAACACTTTTGCTTTTAATTTACGCGCTTGATCTTACAACACTTTCGGCCAACGCATGCGCGCGCTCTGCTCGTCACTCGTAAATCGGTTAGTAGCGCGTGAGGTTAGTTAGTCAATCCGTTTACAAGCGCACAAATGAAATGCATGTGATTTCGCAAATTTTTCACTATTTCCTTATGCACTCTATTTTATGTTTAAGTTTATTTCATACTTTACTTTGTATTATCGTAATGCGCTTTGGCATTTTCAATGCGCATGCGCGTGCAACACTAAAACAAAAAAACGAGTGCGCACCGCTAGAAGACTCGTGTAAAACTGACAACAGTTGTGTACACGCCAAGTTAACGTTTGTGGCTAAAAGTGTTTTGACTGCTTCGAGTTGAGTGTAAGCTGACTCGTTTTGGGCTTTCTGAGCAGCTTTTACGAGTGAGTACATTTCGTGTGGGCGGTAAGTGTTGGCTGTTAAGTTTGAAATTAATAAGAATTAAGGGAAAGGTGGTTTAGTAGTATAAGAAAAAAAAAAATTTTTTTTGTAAAGTAGAACAAGAACTTTTTTTTAATAGATTGCAACTTGTTTTGAGTTTTATATTTTTGGCGTTTATTTTTCGACTGATTTTTGGAAATTTTTTATTTGCTTTCACATAAGCCTCGTCTGACATTTGGTAACAAGTTGAAGTTGGTAATAGATTATTCTTAATTATCAATGACATATCACATCTGTATCCTGGTCATAACAGAAATCGATTCCTTGAAGTCCTGTCAAAATCTCGAACTTTGTATCTGGACAATAGAAATATTCCATGTGTCCGTCTTGAGAAATAGTATCAATCCAAATGAAAGCATGAGTTTACAATAGATTTGCACTTCACCGAAAGACAAGACTTTCAAGTACGTCAAACCAGTACTAAGATGTGTTCAAATAGGTCAGTCCCTACTCCACCTCAAAGAAGAAAAATGTGAGTCCATCTAAGGAACAAAGAAGAACAGCATACATATAGTCATTTGCAATGCAGTCGAATCGCACTGAAGGCAATGTCATCATGTGTAATTAAATCGTAAATGATAAGAGAATGTGTCAAATATCTTGATGCAGTGGGTGAACGTAACAAGGTGTGCCTCATTTGGGTGCCGCGACATGCAGATATTGCAGGGAATGAAATAGCAGATGGATTTGCGTCCTCAAACTCGCCTGCGGGAGCAAAGTCTTTCTTTGCTATAGGTTCTCATACAATCAATGAGATGCTAAGAAATGAAGAAATGAGAATAAGAAAGAGGGCTTGGTACATTGGTGATCGGATGAGATAAACAAAAAAGCTTATGGACGGGTGCAGTACCAGAAGATTTAGAAACATAATATCGCTTAGTAAGAATAACTTCAAAATACTAACCGGATTTCTTACAGGACGTAACAGACTGTTTGTGCATATGCATAGACTTGGAATCAGCACAAATAAGACTTATCGTTTCACTATTTGAAGCTGTCGCCAGAATAAGACTGAGACATCTAAGAGCCTTTCATCCGGAGCAAAATCATATTAAATCAATCAGCCTTTAACGCATGCTACGTTTTATAAGGGCCATATGATTGTTTGAGATACTACGCGGGGTGAAGTACTGCTACTACAAAAAAAGGTTACTGCCCTTTCTTTCTACTCTTCTTTTGACAGCTGATTGTTATCTGAAGTGCTGGCGCACATCCATGGCTAAAATCAAAAGCTTATGGGCCCCATTGCCGCCGCATCCATCGTATTCCTCACTCCCTATGACTGACATCTCTTTGCAAACAACAAAAAATTCAGCTCGGATGAGGAAACCATGCACGCCGCGGAGGAGTATTTTGCTGACCATCCGGAAAATTACTTTTCAGACGGAATCAAGAAGTTGATTAAATGTGTGTTGGAATAAGTGTACCGAGCTAAAGGGGGATTATATTGAACATAATAAAAAAAAAATATCATTACCAAGGAGGTTACTTTTCGTCCCACCTAGTAATTGAAAGAATCGAGGGCGCATCATCCCTACCCATCTATCTAACAAAGGAACAAACTTAACAACTTTTACTATAATGTGGCAGCTAGTTTTAGAGATCCATTATATACAATATATGACATAATATAACACTGCACAAAAGTAATTCAGGTGATTACCCAAATTTTGATTACAGTTTTCAATCTGTATTTAATTAACATTTTTGTATCACTTCTAGATAATAAAAAATAATACACGGAATTTTTTTCCAATAAAACTATTTAAATTTAAAATATATTTAGTTTATTTATCTCTTAAGATGAGACAAATTTTCTCTTATAGGATTTTATTGCTGAAGTCAGTGGATGGGGAATAATATAATGGTTAAGGGGCACACCTAGTGTGATATTTCAAAAAAATCGATAGTCTTTTTCATATTTCGGTAGATTATACCTTTGAAAATAACATATTGAAATTTCACATCTAGATCTCAAATAATTTTTGAGTTATAGCAATTTAAAGAGCAGCCGCTCGGCAGCTAGAGAGTCTCATTAGCTACGAGTGAAAACGATCATTTTATCTTTAAACGCGTTTTTCTCAAAACAGCATTTTCTAAATTTGTTTCAGTGACTACTTAAAAACAAATGATCCGATCATTATGAGAATAAGATGAAATATCTCCAGTTATGGTATTCGTGATTTGACTCGTTCGTCACTGTTGACAGTCAGTACTTAGATGTTGAAGATAATTTCGTCTCTCTAAGGGCCAGTATTAACCACAAAAATAAAATCAGCCAGGAACTCCAACGCCAATAGAAATATGAGCTTTACGAGATAGATATACGGCGACATTGATATAGTTCAGCGCATCAAGAAACAGCGGATGTGCTGGATAGGTGATGTTGTCCGGATGGATAAGAATACCCTAGCTTTCGATGCAGAACACGCCGGTGGAAGCAGAGGAAGGGGAATATATCCACTCTGGTGGAGAGACCAGGTTAAGAAGGACATCGCTAAAATTGGTGTCTACACAATAAAGAAGAAGGCAGAAGAACACGACTTGAGCAATATATGGTTTCAACAGGATGGTGTCATGTCACAAAACATATGCGAATGAGGCTTTACTGCTAGAGAAGTTGCCCGGTCGCATAATCTCTCGTCTTGGCGATATCAATTGGCAACCCAAATAGTGCGCTTTAAGATCTTTTGACTTTTTTTGGAAAGCTACGCGAAAGAAATCAATTTCCGTCAAGCTACGACTGAGATACTGTTGGGCAGTACAATGTGGTCGAAAAATGCCTTAAACAGATCGAAATTTTTAAAAATTCGCTAGACGCTGACATAATGTCAGACTTTAAATTTCCTGAATGTGATTATTTCATATGCGCTCTATATATATATATGTATATTTGGGCCTTGAAAGCGCTGAAGCGATTTTCTGCAATTAAAGTATATATATAAATAAATATATATATATATATACATACAATACATATTCTAATTAAAAATAAAACTAAAAATAAATGAATGAAAGCCGCAAAATTCACTTCAAAGTGTGGTCAATGACACTTCACTAATTTCAGAGTTGCTTATGCTTAACTAACTACTGACTTGTGTTGACCCTAAATAAAGTTTTGAACAATAAAAAGCTAATTAAACTATTTAAAAATGCATTCGAAAATGAAATGTGCGGTGTTCTCGATAATTTTCGGAATTTAACTCAAGCAAATGATAATACCAAAGTTCAAATGCGTATTGTACAGATTTTTTTTTATATTTAATTTATTATCTCTTTCTTTATAAACTATTTCACCAACATAGGTGTATGAATTGCGAGACAATTACTGTTTTGATTCGAGTTCAGCGGGGAGTCAATAGCTCCGATCATTGCCAAAAGTCAGCGGCATCGTCGTCCCGAGGTGCGCTGAACTTTTACAAAATTTATTTCGATTTTGTATTTACCGTATTTGTATTTCTTTTGCCTATTTAGCACTGTATGTATGTATGTATGTGTTGTTCAAGTGGGCAGGTAGGCAACTCAAACGGTAGCTGCTGCTGCTGTACTGCTGCTGCTAAACGGATGCTGTCAAAAAGTAATAGTAAAATTACTACCGCTTCACAAAATCTGACATATTCACATCATGTGTGTGATTATGTGCACCAGTACATGTACAAAAAATCTCTGTAAATTCAAGCTTGTTGTGTAGTTACACAATTAATTATAGCTGTCGCTATTGAAAAAGCAAACAGTGGGCAGTGAAAAAAAAGAATTAATGCGCATTGTACCTACATACATAGATACATTTGTCTATATGCCTATATGTTTGCTTGTATGTTACATACAGTACATAAGTACAAATTAAATGCTTACACATTTATCTAAATAATTTTCTGATTGTCAACATATAATATCATTTTATACACCCGTACATACATATATGCTTCCAAATTCACAATAAAAAAATTTTACATCCACACGCTGGTCACGGTTGGTTGAAGCTTATTTTTCCAAAAGATTTCAATTAATCTCTATACATATGAAGGTGTGAAAAATGAAGCCATATTTTCCACTCGCAATACAATAATAAATCTCTGTACATATATTATATTTAGAGACTCATTTATAAGTATGTAACTTAAGACCAGAAAGTTTCTGGAATTTGTAAAAAAAAAGAAAAATTTTGAATCTTTACCAAAATTTATCTTGTTGCCTTCAAAATATGTTCCTTCTGAAGCGATGCACATTTGTGAAGTTTTTCTCGACTCATCGAAACATGCCTTGTAGGCACTGCCCGGGATCGCCCTCACTTCCCTCAGCGAATTTTCTTTTACGGCCTCGATCGAATCGACACGGGTTCCACGGAGTGGTAACTTCAGTTTTGGAAATAAACGGAAATACTGTGGTTCTTCGAAGGTATTGAACGAGTTTTTGATTTTAAAACTACAATTTCAGCTCGATGCGATGGCGCATTATCGTCATGAAAGTCTCCGGAAATTGTTGACCCACAATTCCGGCCGTCAACGATAGATATTTTCGCGCAAACGCCTCAAAACGCTCAAATAATAATAATCTTTATTGACCGTCTGTCTTATTGGAACGTATTTACGATGAATCCAAATAGCGAATATCGAAAAAAACGATATCCGGAGACTTTCTGGCCTTAATGTACATATATGTAAGTACATGTGTATGCAGCATCAAACAACTAAAAAGTGTATAGAAAATTCAGTTTCAATGAAAATAATGTTGAAATTGATACTTTCGCTGTTCCCAAGTGGGTCAGTTGGTTACAATGTCAACACGAGCTCAGAGCTTTGGCTAAA